TAATTTCGGACCCATTCGTATGTATTTATCGAAAAAATCAAATTGTCGCGTTTCAACCCAAAATTTTGTTCATAGGTAGGCCTAATGATCCTTAGAATATTCTGAAAGTTTCAGCCAAAAAGAATGTTTCTTTCTCGAGATATTGAGTTTTCAAAAAATAGTCGCTTGTCACAGATAGATCACAAAAACCGAGTTCACTTGAAAACTCAATATCTCAAGAAAGGAGCATTATTTTCAGCTGAAACTTTCAGAATATTCTATGGATCATTAGGTCTAACTATGGACGAAATTTCAGGTCGAAATTCGATAATTTGATTTTTGCGATAAATACAAAGGAATGGGTCGAAAATTCAGTAAAATGGTCATAACTTTTGAAGAAAGCAATAGAAACTGAAACCCTTTTAGAGTTCTTACTAGGGCACTGTGTAGTATCTATGGGCAAAATTTCATTGAAATTCGAGGGGGGCACCTGAAAAGATTCCCTCGTTGGGTAAGTGGCATACATATCTGTATATTCACTTGTAATTTTACATAATGAAACGCAATACAAATGGTTAGTTCAATGTATCACATCAGATGAACATTATTTCTATTTCATCTAGCTGTTCTCACTTTTTTCTCTGATAATTTCTTTAATATAATGATTGAAAAGCGAATCATATTATTAATTATTAATTAATAACCAGGTTTTTGTGCTCCTTCATATTTTCCTATGAAAGAAACATAATATTCATCGTTTTAAGTCAAAAGAGATTTTTATCTCGAGATAACTGCATTTTTATTATCGTTTTCATATATCTAATCATTAGCATACTTAATATGTTCATGGTCTCTCTTTCCTAGTCGCTATATTTGAATAAATCTGATTGGCTCATTCGTATTGGTCGATAGTAGCCTTTATCATATCAGACAGACAGACTCCACTTGTACTATTTAAATAATGACTCATCGTTGTTTTATAATTTTTCCTGAGGAGGACGTTGTCTGGAGATGTTGCACGAGTCAACATGGTTGAGTCCATTGGAAAGAAGAATATTTAGTTTATCGCGTTATTTAATAAAAAAATGGCACCTACAGAAGTAAGTTATCTTTCTTTTTGTGTCATTTGATTATTATTTTAAATTCTAGAATGGAGATGAACGAGGTGGACAAGGAAGACCACCAGGTAGTAGTAATAATAATATACTTTTTGATCAATCAAAAAATGAACAAATATCATTAACAAGTGGATTTAAAAAATTACAAATGCATCTTAAAAATTGGAAATTATCAAAGTAAGACAAAAAAAAAGAAATAATTTTTTGCTTTTGCTATATATTTTTTTAATAGTCATCGTGAAGAAATTACTGCCGAACGATTAACGCCATTTCGTGTATTTATTATTGCTAATCCAAGAGAAAAATTTACACCAGGAGAAGTAAGTTATAAAATTTCATTCAGAATTTTAACAATATTATTCAAAATGAATTCTATAATTACTTATTGATATTTTTCATATGGTGCTCATTAAAGATTTTTTTTCTTAAAAAATACATCATTCATCTAATTGCATGGAATAAATTCTTCATACACGAATGAGCATTTTTCGAATTCATCAGTATTTTTTATATTTTTTTAGTTAGACTACCAAAAGTTATCACGTGTTTGCTTTTTCATTTCTAATGACAGCATATGTCGATAGTTGTTCTTTCCAATGAAATTTGATCCGTTCGGATGTATACTCTTTTGTATGTGATGATGAGCCAGGCAGTCATAGTTGAAGAAAAAGTGTTAATAAAAATTGAAGATTGAGATGGTTCAGTAGAAATAGAACTTTTTCTTTATTTTATTTTGTATATTTGCTGCTCACTACAGAAATGTTTTAGCCAATGAAAGAATTTAGTTGACATGCAATAACTTTGAAAAATTTTATACTTTATTTACGAGTCGATCTCATGGATATTCATACAGCGAAATTTTTTTTCTTTGACGAAGTTCGATTGTTTATGTTTAATGTTGATTTATTATCATGGATGTGTATTTTAGTCATAGCTCTTGTTCATTCTACTCTTTTTGACCTAGTTAATCTATTTAGAAGTGTGGATCGTTTCTTCATTGACTCACATCCTATTACATTTCTCTGTTTCGTAAATCTGGTTACATATAAAGATTCAGATATACATATTTTAAATTTTGCTTGAACAAGAGAACTCTATTTAAAAAACAAACGAAGCAATTTTGTAGAACGATTGTACGCTATATCTTACTTTTGATGAATGTATCCATCAAATGAATATCTATTAATCTTTAGACTTTGATAGATTTGGTTTTTATCAAGATAGGAACATATCAATGAAAATTTCTTTCCTTTTTTTGTTTTTTTAGTATGAATCAATGAAACGATATATTGATAATGGTGGAAGTATTTTATTAACATTAAATGAAGGTGGTGAAGGACGACAAATGACAAATATTAATACCTTTCTTAAAAATTATGGCATTGAAGTTAATGATGGTAAGTTTTTTTTCATTTTTGTTGTTGTTAATAATCCTAATTCTTTCTAGATAGTGTTATTCGAGCCGCATATTATAAATATTTCTATCCAAAAGAAGCACTTATTCTTGATGGTGTTCTAAATCGAGCTGTAGCTGAAAATGCTCATTTAATTGCATCAAATGCACCACCAACAACAAAAAGCAAAAAAAGTCAAAATGCTGTTGTTGTTGATAAATCATTACGTGCTCAAGTTGCACGGTACAAAAAACAAAAAAAAAGATCTAAATGAAAATTTTCATTTTGTTTTTCTTTGAATAGATCACTTGAATTTGTTTATCCATTTGGTGCGTCACTCAATGTTCAACCACCATCTGTACCTGTACTATCGACTGGTTCAACATGTTTACCATGTCAAAGATCGATTTGTGCTTTTTATACTTCACCATCAAAAGTATGAAAATATTTTTATAGATAAAAAAAAATCTTTATGTTTTTATTTTATAGAGTGGAGGTCGATTATGTGTTTGTGGTTCGACAATGATATTTCATGATAATTATTTAGACAAAGAACAAAATCGAAGATTATTGGTAAAGATTTTTTTGTTGACTTTTTTTTTCTACATAAACTTTTGTTATTTTTAAAAGGATGTTATTGTTGAATTTCTTACAAATTCATCGTTTCGTTTAAATGAAATTGATGCCGAAGTACCTGATGTAAGTAATAAACATCGATTGAACATAATCATAGCTTAAAAATATATGATACTTGAGAAAGTTCGTTCGTCAGCTATGGCTACTCTCATTTGATACAAGTGAAAATTTTGTGTAGGTCTTCATTCTATATATTTAAGTTTCGTTTTCATTTGAAAGAGTATGTCAGAATACCAGGCACTGTAATATCTACGTATGTACCAAGTTCAAGTAGCTCAGGCTCATTCAGACTTGGACACATATTCTAGTCTAAAATATGTAACTCGGTATGTTGTTTCTCGAATAATGTTCTTTTATTTTCATGCAGTTGAATGACAGATGTATCTTTTCTAACTAGCCAGTGTTTCTTAAAAGTAAAGAAATATTCATGTTGAAACTCAACATTTTTCTTTCACTAATGTATAGAAACTATCGTATATGCAAACTGAATTTTGAACTGTGCTTACTTTGAATACATTCATTGTTGTACAAGAATGAATTTCAAGTGCAAACAATGTAGTACTATTTACACATAGCAAAAAAAAGTAATAGAATACTTAAACATCGAGTTGCTTTGTGTAGGTTTGGGCTCAGTACGAAATTAGCAGCTTTACATGCTCTTTCAAAGAGAATGCAGAACATGACAAAAATCATCGGAAATTTTTGAATAAAATGATGCGACGAATAGATTTAACCCTCTGAGCCCCGGTGGGATACATATGTCCCACCTTGAGAATTTTCAAATCTTCCGATTTTTGAGAATCTTGGGGAAATATTTTTAATGCATGTTGGAAGCTAGGAGAGATCCGTACAAAACTATACGGATGATAGAGTGTATGGAAAACATTAAAAAGTACATCGTGCTATGTTTTTTAGTGCCACCACCCCACCCCCCCTCCCCCCACCCCATGGCGGTCTCTGCTCCCG